TGTTTATTCCATAAAACTATAAATATGACCATTTATTCCCTTGTCCCTTATTGCAAGTAAATAGTAAAACAAGTCAAGGGAAGTTGCATGCTTTTCAGTGTAGCTACTTCAGTAATTCCTAGATAGCTAATTTGTATTAGTATGAGAGATTACTCCACTAATAAGGTTTAAATTAATCTATTGCAAAAGTACTGCCTCAGAGAGTTGCCAACAATCTGACCAGCAACACATTCATTTTTTTCCTCTCTCAACTCACTGTTTACTTTGCAGCTACTCCATGCTCACTTAGCACTAAATAGCTTAATTTACTTCTATTACTTCTGTATTGTGTTTTTTCTGGAACTTTTGTTATAATAATAAATTTTGTTCTTTCAAAGCTGTATATCTTCTTTGCTACATGCTATCTTCTCTCATATTCATCCACTTAAGTGAACACTAGATTATTTATACTGAATACATCTTTCCTGGTGATCTTTTACTATGTATTTATTTCTCTTCTACCTCAACTAATAAGAACGATATATGGTTCTCAAGTTGGCATCAGCCAACAACTGATCATAGTGTTCCATTCAAATACAGATAGTAATTACTACTACAAACTCCCTATTTCAGAGATTTATATGGTGGTGACATGACTGGATTCCACTCCTACCATGAGATTTCACAACAACAGTGTCACATGTAACAAGTCAAATTTTTTCCAATATAAATTATATCTTATGGTATTATGGCTGAAAACCACAGTATAAAATTGCTCAAGCTGACACTGCAAAAATATGCTTCAACTTGCCTTTGGAATCTTAAATTACACTGTTGTTGGCAAAAATTGTGGAATTTTCTCTAAGCCTGTTTTATATTAAATCTACTGATTGATGTCTGAACACAAAAAGATAACATTATCCTCCAAAGTAGGTGGTATTTCCTTAAGTGAGGAATAACATTAATTACTGTAAAGGCTTACTGACAAATGTTATTGTGATCACTCAAATTCAAAAGACATTAATACCACATGTTTTAAGGGCTATGTAAATTTTAGACCAGTATTTTCTATTCTTACTTAAAGTATACCACAGCATGATGTATTGTCTTAACAGCAGAAAGTTTAAGCCTAGCATTAACTTGATTCATCAATCAATGGAATATTTTCTTTTCTTGACGTTTTATGGCAGGTCAAAAAAGTAATTCGTATTTAACTGTATAATTAGCTTCCCATATAGAAAAGCCAGGAGAAACATTTATAACTTCTTTCATTTGGGTAACAATGGAAATTTTTCTACAGCTATTCATTTCTTCATTTGCTGAATTCCGTTCATGGCTGAATATGAGAAACTGTACTGTCTCTTTGAGCACAACACTTGAGATCAGAAGCCTCACACATTCTCGTATTTAATTCTATGGCCTTGAACAAAGACATTAATGTTTTTTCTTTCCTCTTCCATCTGTAGAATGTGGCTATTCATATGTAAGTGCCTCTTGAATTAATTGTAGTTATTAATAGTTGTATTGATTAATAGTTAATGAATGCAAATTATTTTGTGGACAAAAATATTCTCAACTATGCAGAGAGGAAACTGGAACTTCAATTATATTAAAAAATGTGAATTGAAAATATACTAATGTTCCAAACTGCAACAAACCCAAAGAATTTTGAAATTGCCTGAAAAACACAGAAGTCACACTCAATTTTGTTTCAAGAAAATATTTTCCATTATATCTTATAATGGAATAATGAAGTAAATTGCAAAACAAAAAGTTACTTCAAAATAGAAAAAATGCAATATCATAATCTTTTAAAATAAATATCTGCTTGTCAAAAATACTGATCAACCCTAGTTTCATATATTATAATTAATCTTATATTGGTGAATCATTTAAGATGACAAAAATAGTTTCACTATTAATCTATCAAGGGTTAAGTGGTCAGGCAGCCCCAAAATTACCCAGAGTCAAAAGAGCCTCAACACACTATATACACAGCTTTTTACTTCTTCAGCTCCAGGTCTTGTGTCCCTTGAAAATCAATTTGCCTCCGTCACAGTAATTACAGTATTCTTGAAAACAAATTGACTTGTCAAGTTAGTTCCTCCATGACATCCTCAGTGTCTTCAGTGACGTTTCTTTTAACAGAAAATGACATCAGGCAGAAAAAACAGTGAGTATCCACCTGCCACAGTCCCCCTTCACTGTAGGGACTGCAACAAAGACAGGATTCTATTTCCTCCTGTTTAAAATCATATATGGAAAACATCAAAACAGGAAAGTAGCAATTCATATTCCTCATTTTATCACCACTGTTGACACTGGGTATCATTTAATTTCTGGCAATTTTTTAAAGAGTATTCACATTAGGACTGAAAAAAAAAAAAAAAAAAAAAAAAGATCCCTGAAGCAGCCATGGCCACCTACTAACTCCAGACTCACGGGCTCAGAAGGAATTTCCTTTAGCAAAATCCAAGTGACACAGATAACAATCCAGTTTGGCTACTTTAACTTGAGCAGCACAGCTTCACATCTGACTTAATCCAACTGTTAAGTAATACCGTGTGTAATCCAGGGTGCGCGACAGGTAAAATTTAAACCAGCAAGTTTGAAAGAAAGGGAATTGAGCCACAAGGGAATGTTCTACACAACAGAGAAGATAAGGCAAAGCTTTTCTACTTTCAAGACTCCTTGAATGTGGCGCTTTTTTTTTTTTTTTTTTCTCTTCTTTAATAAAAGATCTTTCTCTACAGGCAGTTCATGAAACAGTGATCAGCAGACACTGTCCTAAATCCCCACCTGATGTGCACTACGTTATTCTGCTGGCATTGCTGGCAAAGCCCCTCAGGTCCTGTAAACCACTCTATAAACCCTTAATAGAAGTACAGCAATTTACACCAGTGGAAATGCTGCTCTAATGACTCTACAATGATTTATACTAGCTAAATGTCAGAACCCACTAGGGGAAAGAGAGACAAACAGTCTTAAAAGGATAGCATCAAGAAAAATGTTTTTTTCCTTGGGCATGATATCTAGAATAACTAACACTGTTATACTGATTAAGGAGACTGTTGAAGAGCCATAGGAAAACTGAAGTACCAATCAGCATCTCATTGTTACAAGGCAACACTGAGACAGAGAACTGAGAGAAATTCAAACTCACATAATAAGAATTTCTCTGCAGAATTTCTACTGTAAATCTGAGAGCTCCTGTTCTCAGCTCAAGGGCTGTCACAGCCACTGGTACAGACATTTTCCTCAGGGATGTTTCTGTAGCTCACACCACCAGCCTACAGTTACAGAATGCTCCTCCAGCAAAATCATCAGCAGGAGGTTGCTACTATCTGCAATGGGTGAGAAAAGCTTCCTTCCTTTTTTTTTGTTTCGATTTTTTTTTTTCCTCAATTTTTTTTTTACTCTTTCAGTCTAAATGTCAGAAACACATATGGCCTCTCATTCTATTGCTTTATCAGTCCACAGCAAAGTAATATGTGAAAGCTCTGCAAAGTAATCTGCAACCTGGGTCCTTTCCATGACAAACAAATATTTAAGGACAGGTCTCACAAGGCCTTCTTGTTTGATCTCATACGTGTTACTTCAGGCTGTAGCTTTACATAAAATGAAAACCTCTCTAGGGAATATCAGATAACATCATGTTTTTTCCACTACATTCAATAGTTTGCCTACTTGTCTTCAAGTCATTTACAATACTTTAATAAAATACTTCATAATATGTCTTAATAATTATAATAAATAAATATTAAATAATATAATAAATACTTTTTAGTAAAAATACTTTAATCAAAAAATACTTTAAATACTTAAATTTTATAAAATCCTGTGCAGTGTATTTTTAGGAAAGTAATGTGATTTTATGTTTTGACCCAGATATTTCAGCTGGTGTAATTTTCTTTCAATAGCTAGGTTGTCCTTTATAACATGGGTATATTTTAAAGAAACTCATAAAAATTAAGGTTTACAGGCTAAAAATTAAATACTAAGCACTGATGAAGTGTGTATGTATGTTACTAGTTTAGTATGTCACAGATAAATACAGACACATAATTAGTTTATGGTAAAAATTTTATAACATTTAATTAGAAAGTAGACTACTGAAATCCTTTTTAAGATTTTGTTAACAGTTCAACAACTCTGAACTATTTAGGCATGGAACCTTAATATATTTAGTTTAGGAATATTTTCTTGGCAGCCTGATCCAGTAGAAGAAAAAGCAATTAAAAGAGGGGTTAAGTATTATGGTTTTAAGTGCCTGAACATTAGTTCTTTTGCTGGCCTGTGACCTGTTCCCAAAGAAATGAACAAAAACTAAGGAGGAGTCTAGAGTTCCAGATTTCTCCCTATCACTTCATCTAATTATGCAATTACCAAACAAGCATCAAAACAGCATCTTCAATTGCTTTACTTTCCTCTAAAACAACTGTTGCCAAACAATGCTCCATGGATCACCAGATACCCACACAGTACTTCCTGGTGGTCTAAGATTTAATCAGTCACTGCCTGCTTCTTTGCCACCCTTTATAGTGTATTCAAAACAGCTGAAAAAAGCAATTATATTCCCAACTGTTCATGTGAAGGATTTCCATTAGTGGATATACCCTGTTCAGATAACAGTGAAAGCAAGAGAATTCTGACCCAAGAAACAATCCTGACACACACCTGCTCAAGCTATTCATGGTAAGCCTGATGAAGCATTTTTCCTCAGTGCACAGAGGTTCTGCTGTCTGCTTCTGTTATTCCTCCCAAACTGTGAGGATGCAGAATGAAGGAAAACAAACACAGATTTCTGACAGCAAAAACCTCAGCCTCTCCCAGTGCAGTTAAAGACAGACCCTCTGGCTAGGACTCATAAGCAAACTTCTATGTGCACTGAGGGCAGCTACTAGACACATGTACACTAATTCAATATATTTAAAAGCATACATTTCTTTCTTCTCTCCCACTTCTCCCCCCCCAACCATTAAGTAATTATTAATGGGTGAAAGTGGAACTAGTATACTGACCTCATCGACGTTCTCAAATGCATTGATGACATCATATGGCAAGCATGAGAGCAGATCGATCACAAACCAGGTCTTCAAGTAATTCATGCGAATCAGCTTTGGGTCAGAGATCACCTCTCCTGCTGGCCCCACAAAGGTGGTATGGAAATTAAGCACAATGTCTACCAAAAAAATGACATCTACAATGCTGTCAACTACTAACCATGCCACATTGTTCTGTTTGGTTTTAAAGGAGACATTGTAAGGGACCAAAATAGCAGTGTAGAAGGTTAAAATCAAGATGATCCAGTCCCAGGTAGTCTTGAAAACACAATAATGCAAAATTATATGTGGCGGAGTCTTTGGTGCCTCTTGTTTGTACTGCGGGAGGATTTCAGAGCCCAGCTGTAATACCTGCAGTCACAAAGATTTCAGGAGAAAAAGAAAACATGCTTAATTTTTAAACATTTTTCATATTGTAGATTCTCAAGCTCAGTATAACAGTTGATAAAATACATTTTTATCACCACCAAATGGTAAGGAAGTCAGGATAAGTACTCTGTTAAACAAATTAGCATCAACCGAAGAACAATTGTTATTTCTTTTAATGCCATTAATTATTTTTGACACCAAGCCTAATGTGCTATCTCTCCAAAACATATAGAGAAGAGACAGCTCCTTCAGCAGTCTGAATAGACAACACAGATAAACGATGGGCAGGAAGGCAGGTGCAAATATATATCAATTAATGGCAAAATCAGGAACAATACCACAATTTGAGTTTCAGTTCAGCACTGAGACCACTAGACTACATTGTTTTCCAACATTGTCTATTTAACACTTCACTACACTGTATCTGAAATAGTCTTATGCTACAATCTATCATGAATGCACAGACCTTTGTTCCTCTTCTATGGGCTGTGCAGGACCAAAGCACATGGATAACTATCATTAGCATCAATAAACTCATTTTGAACTTTTAACTTTTCACTGAGAAAAGATCAGTGTCTTCAGAGCTAACTGCATTGTAACTCGACTGTACACCATCAGTACAGTCAAGTTACAATGCAGTTAGCTCTGAATTCAAAAAAGCACTACAGCAGAAGATGATCTGTTAGCATCTGTTTTAAACCCTGGACCTCAAGCTGAGCTCCAAGTGTTCTGCATAACTGCAATCTTGATCAGTGCAGCCCGTTTTAGGTCTATCTCTCCAGTTCTGCACACTAGTGCAAAAAGAGTATGATCATGTATTTCATTCTTGGGAACTAAAGTTTATCTTACGTACCTATGAACAAGAATACGTTTGTTTATATCTATGGATATACATGAAGTTGAAACTAACATGAAGGACCTGTCTCCAAATAAAGATAAATTAAATTTTAAAATTAAATTTATCCTGGATGAGTTATGGATTAAAACGGAAAGGAAGACAGAGGTTTGCTTGAATGAGATGTGTTCGGTAATGCCAAACTCATAGAACCTGTGAGAACTATTTAGGAGCATGGTTCTTTTTCCACAATTATTTACACATAGTTCAGAGCAATAGGAAGCAGAGAAGGAAATTAAATGGCCACCTCTCAGAAAAGATCAGACAACATAGCTATAATAGGAGGATGCCTACCTTTCATGTTCCTTATCTCAGCTTTTTTATCAATTATTTAGACACAGATTTTTATCTGCAGGCTTTTCTGAGTGTCTTTTTTTTGTGTATGTGTGAACTGGTGGGCTTTTTTCCAACAGATTAAGCCAAAGGGCACAAAAGAAAACAAGCACCTACAAGAGCCCTACTTGGACAAAACAACCTCAGATTAAGTTCCCTGCTGCTTTAAACCTCACATAATCACTTCCTCTTGTGCACTGTCAGATCACAGTCCCTTGCACAGGAGTAAATGACAATGGGAGTTGCAAGCCTCCTAACTTTGAGCCCAGTATGTTCTCCAGCAGAAAAGTAGCACGACCTGCTCAAAAAAAAAAAAAAAAAAAAAAAAGACTTAGTATTTTTGTTTCACCAAGTTTCTAGAATGACAGCAAAGAGGGAAAAGGCACATTTTTCCCCATGTAGAACTCCTGCAGACCAAACTAAGACTCAGACACATCCACTGCAGTATTACTCTGCCACTTCTGATCCTGAGTCACGCACAGTTCTCCATACTAAAACAAAAGTAAAAATTCTTTTTAAAAAATGCCTTGTGGTGAGACAGGCTGGAAGCAGCACAAGACAGAAGCAGTCTCTTCTCTGCAGGAGGCACTGGTCACCCAAAGCAGTGCCCAGAAGTCACTGGTAGTGGCTGGAAGAGGCGTAGGTTGTGCACTGAGTTAGTATGTGTACTCAGACCATCGTTCCCTTAAGGGCTTGTTTGCAGGCCCAGCAAGAAATGGTAGAATGTCTTTTCTCAACAAAAGCTCTAACCAAAGATCAATATTGAAAATATCTTCTGCCCTCCCTTCTGAACATCGCAGCTGTACCTGAATCAGTCGGAAAGCACTGAGCTACTACTGGCTTTTATGAGGATCTGCATGAGTAGCAGCTCTAACATAAGATCCCAAGCCTGAAATATGCTTCAGTGAGCAAGGAAAGTCCTCTGCAGTATTCACCCACTGGAATAACTGATCAGCAAAGCCAAGTACTTTCTATCACATAGTAACATTTTTCAGTCAGTTAACTGGATTTCAGTTCTAATGCTGAGATCTTACTAGCATGGGGAGATTACCCTCAAACACTAGGTAAAAACATAATTGCTTCTTTTGTAATCACAACTCCTAAAGCTTATTTTTTTAGCCCTTGATATTATATAAAGAAGTCAGACATTTTGGTAACCATTCTAATCAGCACAGGAACTTCAATCATGAAACACTAAAAAATAAAAATTGTTAGTTTTTGCCAGATTGATTCTTATATAAACATACATAAGTTCTAGACTGAAAAATCATCTAATGCACTCCATTTTGGCCACTGCTGGTGGCCAAAGAACTTGTGGAAAGTTTGCATCATCCAAACTTAAGTTACTGGAAAAGGTACTAATGTATTCCCATATACGTGAATAATAGGAACAAAGGCAAGAGCAATTTGTTTGGTAATAAAACCAGATTAAATTATGGTGTCCGTTATTTTGCTGTAAGTGAAAAAAAAATACAGTAAAGCCAGTGGAACTACAGGGATATAAAACTGAACTGAATGCAGAGAAAAAACAGACTTCCAGGTTCAGCTCGTTGAGAAAATAAACAACTTTGCTGTTTTGGTGCTTTAAAATGTCATTACCAAGTGCAAAGCACTCTCTCCTAACTTGTTTGAGGTTCAAGAGCTACAGCTCATGAAAATAAAAGGATTGATGTCTCCTTCCCTTTTTACTTAGAAAGTAAGTGTAAACCATTGGAATGGCTAGGGGCCTTATTAATAAGAGTCTTTTGAACTTTCATTACCACCTTGGAGTCTCTGGTTAAGCTGTACCAATGGCTATTTAAAGGGACCAGTGGCCATGGCTTAGCTGTTCTCCTGTGGAAGGATGTACACCATCAGAGTGGGTGTGAATCTCAAAAGGAAGGGCAGGGACAGTGCAGGGACAGGGCAGGACATGGGCATCAAGGAATGATGTAGGGATATTGCAAGGAGGAAAAACTGCTTGCAGCAAGCCTGAGATGTCTCCACTCTTTCGTTTCAGTGGGGTGGGGGTGACAAGATCTAGCCCTGCCTCCTTCACTACATCACTAACGCACACCTTGTAAAACCACTCCATCTTGCTGGCATTGCTAGAGACATGAAGCGTCATTTCACAGCTTGAGATGGAGGAAGAGCACTGTCCCAGCTTTATGCTACCTCTCCCAGGAAAAGCAACTTGCTTTACAGACTGGCAAATGTCTTGTAACCTCTGTGAAAGCACTTGGCTGGCAGTCCAAAGCAACAAATTCTTCTTTTCATTGAAGGAAGAGAAAAACACCTATAAGGAAGCTTAATTATCTCAGAGAACAAGCATGTGCTTTTAGCATTAAGTTTAAGAAGAGAGCTCAGTGCTGTACAGAAATAATAGAAGGAAGTCCACAGAGCACTAAAGATCCAGGTTTTGTCAGGTTATTGTGCTGGAAGTTAGGAGAGCTCTCTCCTCCACTTTTCACACCAAAGGCCACACACAGTCTGTTTCTTCACCATCCTTCCCCACATGCACGCACCTCCTCAGCATTATCTGGAGATTAAGAGCTATAAACCCCACTCTTTGTGCACCATATAGCAAAGCATGGTAGAGGCAAAGAGAAGTACCTTCTGCCCTATTCCAAGGTCCTCTTGCTGCACTCCAGCCTCTAGGGTGACTAGTGCCAACCTGAGACACAATATTTGCTGAAGCAGCCAGGTGTGATTACCCACCCACATAAAGTAACTAGATACAAACTATTTGTAAAGGTACTTCTCCTGGAGAAGGAAAAAAAAAAACCCAAGTGATGAATGTAGAAGTAATAATGAAGAAAATGTGCACAACTATATAAACTGATATGCTGAGCTTCCGCCCATGTGTACTGAACAAATATTTCATTACTATTATTTTCTAAATAACTGAAACAGCCCTGGTTTTGGAACATTTTTCCCTATTATGCAGTTATACCATAGTAGAAGAAATGTTTGTTTCAGAAAGTTATTAATGAAAGTATTATTCCAATTACTTATGATTCATCAGCTATTACAGTTGTATTATCTGTGTTTATTATTTGTGGTAATGATGCATGATGTTTTAATAGCTCTCTAAAGCCAGAGAATATTATTTCAATAGTAGAAATGACAAATTTCATCATGGGTTTCACAAGGCTGTGTTTGGTTGGGTTTTTTTTAATATAACTAAATAAAAAGAATTTATCCTAGATTTGTTAAAAAATGGTGAATATATCACCAGTCAGGACTCATAAAAGTGCATCAACAAGTGGTTACCATGATTTATTTAAGACTGCATGACTGGGGAAAAAAACCCCACACAAACAATCGTTCATTTTCAACTTAATCTCTCCCTTTTGTGGTTTCAACTGCACATATTTGCTTTCTCTTACTCTCCCTTGCTTTTGTTTTCACAGTCACCCACACAAATTGCTCCTAAGCCAAGGGCTAGGTGGTAAGCCTCAACTTGAAGTAGATTTTAATGGCAGTTAAAAGTCCCTGGTAAACAAGGTTTCTAAAAAAAGTGGCAGAAGTTCCATTACTAAGTAGTGCTGCTAAGCACCATTGTAATTTTTCTGCTTTTATTTCTCATAACTATCGCATTTTTTAAATTATGACATCATCTTATTTACCCAGAACAGCCTGGTAAATATACAGAATATATCAGCTAACACCGTAGGTGCAGAGGACACATGTACTATGCAGTGACCAAGAAGAATGGTTCCCACAATCAGCTCCTTGGTGACAAAGCCACAGAAATGCATCAATTACTTTACATTCTTATTGCAAAATGTACTCTTGGAGTTACCTAATGCCTTTGCATTAACTGCATAATTAATTTAAGCAATTTTCATATGACCACTATTAGAGAAGTCAGGCTAAAAAACCTACACATATTGAAAAAAGTCAGAGACTGAGGCTTAATAGACACCGCTTGTATTATCCATGACCTGTGGATAAAACAAAGTAGTTTGTCATTAACACCTTTCTTAAACTAGTATTTCATAAACAATAAAAGAAATGGTAAGCATTTGTGGCAGGCTCCTGTTCTGTATTTGTACACCTTGCCCCACTCAGCTTCTAAGACACAACTGGCCCCTCAGGTATCAAAAATACAAGTGATAAAGAACTAAGAGCAACTTAAATAATATTCCAATAAATGAAGAGCCTTCTTAAGCAAACAAGACTAACATGAAATGCCATAGCGAGTAGGAATAAAAGATGAATTTTAATTTGAACTTACTATTTCAAATAGGCTACTTAGAGATGAAGAAGAGAAAAAAAAATTTTGAAAATACAACAGGGAACAGATAGAGATCCCATGTTCAACATTACTGAGAGATCTTTCCAGAATAAGAAGCCTGGCACACCATGTGTCTTCAAAAGAAGAAAAGTGGGCTTGTCTCTATGATTATGTGCACTCTGCTTTTCTCTAGTGTAGTTCTATTGACTTAAGTGAAATTACGGCAGATATAAAACAAGGTACCCAACATCACAGTTGGGGCTAATGTTCTTTTTAAAATAATTACTGCAATATTCAGTCGGCAATTAAAGAAACTCATTTCAGACGTGTAAACTATACACTTGACCTTTATTATTTGTAATGAATCAACTGGCTGTGCCAGTTAGAATACTTGCAAAGACTTGTTGAACACATTGGCTTGCAAGAAGTTTCAGTAATATGTAGTCACTTAGGTCCAGACTGAGGTTTACTGAGCCAGAATAACCTCAGACCCTTTGCCTTACGTTCTACTGTGTACATTTAGCATGAATTAAAATTCAATGGGTAGACATCTAAAGAGAAGGAAGGATTATTTGATGCTAAGCCTTGAGCAAAATTAGGAGGGAGACTATTCCAAATTCCAGGACATCAAAGCAACCTCAGGGTGGGCATCTGATAATCACACAGTATTCCTACAGTATAGTGTCCGTGTGAATGTCGGCCCTCCCCTGTGCTAGTATGATCTATGTTATTTCTATACTTCCAATAGAAATCAGTTTTCCATTACTGAGTGCATCTCTATTAAATACTGAACAGGTAAGCTCCTGTCTGTGGGAATGTCATCATCTCATGTGATAACAGTGCAGGAGGCCCCGGCAAGAGTTGTGTATTTTGCAGAGAAACTAAGATTATACAGCACAAAATTAACAGAGTACTGACTATATGGAGACCTCACAGAACCAATCAGTGGCTTACACCTCCAGCTATAGAGGAAGATTAAGAATTATTCACAAGAGTCACAGCTGTTGCCATGGCATTCACAGAAACAGGAAAAACAGAAGTGCCATGTTATATTGGCCATGTTGTCATTAACACCGTATCAAGACTTGCCCTAAATTGTTGTTACACCAGGAAGACCCTGCTACTGGCCCAGTAGAAAGCTACAGGAAACTTGGGACAGTCTCTCCCCCTCGTGGTGAAAGCCCTAAAACCCTAAGCACTTTAAGGAACCTTCTCTGCCCAGAGCTTTTCTCAAGACTTTGACAGTTTACTTAAATCACAAGGTCTCATTTTCCTAATCTGTCTGCAGTGTTGCTTGTGGCATCTTGCAGCTGTTCTGTCCATAAAACCAGTAACTCAAACATATATTTTAAACAGTTTGTAAAGGAAGATTGGGATCCCACTTAAAAAGAACTAGGCATAAATAAATGCAGAGAACAACTGTGACAAGGATTCTCCAGAATTTCCTTCTGTACTGGCCTGAGTTTTGCTCACCTCAGTTTTACACAAGCAAACAGTCCAAGATCCTACTAACATTGAGATCCTCAGAAGAACAGAAACTAAGCAAGAAAGTATTACTTTAATAATGTCATTATAAGACTTGGCTGAGATACGGAACACAACAGTGAAACTAGGTTACATGAAGTCTTTTGGACACTTGTTTGATTCCACTGTCGCAGGACACATTTCTCAGCACACGTGCAGGCTTCAGATTCCCAGGGCAAGGGGGACAGACAGTGTTTAGTTCACACAGAGGCAACATACCCACAAAGGCTAAAAGCATTTCTTTACAGTCTCTCAGGGAAAGAAAACATTACCTCAGCAAGTCGTGAATGCTTGTGGACGTTCTCTCCTTTCTGCACACTTGGAGCAAGCTGTTGAAGTACACCTCGGCTGCTTGTGAGGGCACGGGTCAAGCGAGCAAACTTTCCCCAACCTTAAGAAAACATGCAAGATTATACACATTACCAAAAAAAAGCTGCAAATGTACCACATAAAGCCTCTCATAACTAAAATTTAAAAATAAATAAACCAGAGCAATCTGCTTTAATACTGACCACAAGGGAGTACAATTTAACCAAGTACCATATAAAAGCAAGTCACAAAATAGGCGTCAGGGTAGTAAAGTAATAAAACCCATGACTGCAGTGACTTTGTATTCAGTGGCTCTACAAGACTGCTGTTACATGAACTGTATCTTTTGTATGGATAAATGTCCACTTCACAATAATCTTCTATTAAATCCAACGGCCAGATCTGGATGTCACAGCACTGCAGAAGACACTCCAGACTAATCAAGATGTAAGACTAGAATAACGCACAACAAAAAATTACAGTTGCCTGTAACAGAAGTGAATCTGGCCTCAGATATATCAAGCACAGATCTGGCATAAGCAGAGAAATATGCGTAGTATAATAAAAAGCAGATCAGACAAAGCAAAAACAAAATCATTAATTTTATCCTCTCTAAACAAAATGAAGAAATATACAAATAGATTTTCTCAAACTAATAAAACATTTAGCAGCTTCTGGTAGAGAAGTCATATGCTGAATTTTAATTCAGAATATTTTTTGCAGTCATTTCAAATACCCCTCAAAATAGAAGACCTTGAATGACAGTCACAAGAGCTAGTTACAACTATAACCTTTATGAGCAGTACTTTGTCATAACTTAAAAGTCAGACAGATTATATACATCTGGATATTTCTGGTACTCTGAAAGGAAAGTATCAGTGCTTTTAGTCCCAGTCTTGAAAAATGCTAGCACCACCTGGGAACTGTTGAGTAGTCTCACCTCCTACTCCAGCTGAAGATGCTCAGCACTTTGCAGATTCAGTTCTTAATGAGAACCTGGTTCTGGAAAAAAATTCCCTCCACATTATGGTTTCATCACAAAAAGGAATTATACTACTAGCAGTGACTGTTTTTAAAGACCAGTCTGAAGATTAGTCTTCAAGTGATCTGTGACAAGTACAGGAATATGTGTGGTGAAAAAACTGCCCAGTACTTTGAACATATCCTTGCTTGATATCTCACTTCGACAGAGTTCAGAGAAACATATTTGGTAATTTGAGAAGTAAGCACAAAAAATAAATTAATTACATGGATCTGGTATTGAACAAGATCTTCCAGGGCAGACCTGAAGAGAATTTAGCATTTTCTCCTTTACAAATATGCAAAATTGTGCATTTATTAAAGAGAAGGACCAAATTCATCAGACCTCTCCAAAATCAAGAATAAAATTGACTAATTTCTTATGCTTTAAAAGATGTTTTAAAGCAAGTCTGTCATTGGTAATTTAACAGTCAAACTGAGTAGAATAAGCAACACTTTCAGGCAGTATTCAGCAACAAGTAGACTGAATTATTTTCATGCAGGAAGGCTGATCTTTCCTGATAAACTCATATAAGATTAACTACTGTGCTAAGGGACTATTTTTCAGATAAATAAATCAACATGACAGAACCTCAAATGAGGTCAGATTGTATCAGTTATAAGCCTTTCCCAAAGCACTTGATTTCTCATAATACATTTCCATGGGAGGTGGTGGGTTTTGGTGGTTTGGGGTTTAGGTTTTTTTTAAGATACATTTATGAAGAGTATACTTTCTCTACTGTACATGCAGAAATCCAACTACAACAGATAAGCTAAGGCTTGGAAGGCCTTACTACCTTCTGAGTAAAGCCAGTAGAGATTAAGAGAATGGATCAGGTGGGAGAAACCATTCATAATGACTAATTTTCAGCTCTTATAAATCAGACTAGCCTTTGTAAAGCCAACAAAGCTACAGCAATTTACAGCAACCTAAAACTTTGCTTTTGCGGAACTTACATGCCAGCACTACTACTTTTGCTTCCTACTTTACAGGACCATGGGATAAGGCTATCAGGACGGGTATATATTCAGTGATACAAACGCAGGCTGCCGAGGCCCCGGGAGGACATGAGCCATAGCTCCGTTTTCCAGCGGCGGGAGCAGGCGGTGCCCCGGTGCTGGCCATGGTGCTGAAGCGGAGGCCGCGGGGGCTGCAGCTCGCCAACCAGGGCTGGAAAAAAAAAAAAAAAAAAAAAAAAAAAAAAAAAAAGACGACAGAGTTCTAGCTTCACATTGGAACTCGAAATCTGCCTCCCTTACCAGACACATGATGTTTTTAACTCCAGCTAACAGACAGCCCGTTTTACTAACTCAAAACAGACTGATGGATAGGGCATTTTCCTGGAAGATTCAAAAATTGGTTCAAACCCTGAGGACAAACTTTCAGTGTGTCTTTTCTTCCTGCCATACAGCCTTCTAAGAACTGGGCTATCCAGACATAAACAGAGGAGGAAAAGGAAGAACCTCACCTGAGCTTTCTTCCACAAAAGCACTGCCAGACATCTCTGTGCCATGATTTGCAGCTATGAATGCTGAGCACCTCTGGGCACCTCCCTCTCTTCCCAAGAGTCATCTCCTTTTGAAAGGTACAGCTTAACCCATTCCTCTGTTCTCAGCGTCTCCTATAAGCACCTCCCCCGCCCTACACGTTGCAAACCTCATTTCTGGGTGCCTAAAAGTTATGCGAAAGAACTGTTCTGACAGACATTAGATCTCTCACCAGATACTCCAAACTCTGATCTGAAAACAATGTAACCGCTTGTTATAGGCAAGAGACTGTGTCAAGAGGCAGGGCTTTTTATCTTGGCTTTTTGAACCAGTGCTGATGGCAGTGAAAATGGCAGGCTGGGAGTACATACCCTAACCCTCCCCATACACTGGGTGCAGCACATGGGATCCCAGCTTAAGAGTTGCACATGTCACTGTGTGATGATATGTCTAAAACCAGGCACTTAGTCTCTCTGCAAATGTCCCAGGTGTATGAATCACATCCTTAGGACAGAACACTCTCCTCTTTGTGCTGCCTCTTTAGGAAAATAAAAGTGTGAGAACTTTGAAGAATAATTAAACAAACCTGCAGAATGTGGCATAGGAAAAAGAAAATTAAAATGAGAAAGAATGCCAGTACTAATCCTATTGAATGATAACTCCTCCAATACTGCTTGAAAAGACAGCAGTACCTGTTGAATTTATTGCAATTTTTCCTCCAGAAGCCTAAGGACAGATACAGCCTACAGTAAGTCAGATACTTATCCAGTGAAGACAGGTCAAATACTGGACTTAAGCCACAGGGGAGTGGCTTAAACATTAAATTCTAAGGGTCATGGAGCTGATTACAGGAAGAAGATGGAGATTTCCAAGAAAAGAAACGAGGTTTCAGAATATATTGGTATTAGTCCTGCTAGGACAAGGGGACCAAATGATACCAATTAGGAATTCTCTTTCAACACAAGCAGTTGATATAACCTTACATCTATTTGTTTCCTCTAGAAAGAGAAAATATAAATGCAATTGAAATCTAATGACCCTAAGTGATTCTCATACAGGCATACATATTTCTCAAATAGACAAGAGCTTGAATAGCAGAGAAGACCGCTTGGAATTCAGGAAGTCAAACACGGTTCCGCTTGCCTGTGCCTCTGTCTTTGATTCTAATCCACTTGTATCATTGTTTGGTGGTCTCCATTTTCAGTTCTGCAGAAAACATCATGCAGGGACAAAGCAATGAGATAGCACTGAAACACCTCCAGCTTCCAAAAGATAAAGAGCCTTCAAGATTAACAGCACTGACTTCAGCTGTCCAGTATTCCATGATGCCTTTTCAGTTTTCCACCATTTCATTGCAAAATGCTGAATAGAAACTGCTTCTGAAAACACCCAAGAAGACAAGATGCCTACAACAAGGACAAAAATTTTCCCGAGTTTTATTTCATAGGGAAACATGGCACTGAAGTACACCTTTGTGATGTGATTTCAACTCATCAAGACTTCTCTTTAAGGGATGAAGCTTCATTTATCAACACTCTTAAGTTGAAAAAAATCAATTTTCTGTATTTTGAGGTAAGCATGATCTGTTGATAATTGATAACAACTTTTGGTAGTTATTTGTAGGTAGTTATTTGTTTCCTACCACTCTCCTCAATTTGATCACGATGACACACAAATTCAAACATTAGGCACTGTGGCAGTTACAGAACATTTGTTATCAAGTTGCTGATCTATAACTTACACAATCCCTAGAGTTAGAACAAGGAGCCATTGCCTACTAGAGAATCAGCTTGTTTGTCAGGAGTCCACAGTTCACACAGAACTGTGTAAATGCAAATAACTCAGGATTCTAGCAGTTCTTGCCTCCACTCAAACCACCGTTGTTTTCTTGCGCATCAAAGATCCCTGCTTACATCCATCATGCCTCTCTGCAGTCTTAATCTCCCTCCCTTTGAAACTTCATGACTAAAACTGTCTCATTTTTCCATCTGGACTGGGAAAGCATACGAAAGTTTTTTAATATACTCACCACTTCCCTTTCATTTGTTCCTCTTTTTAAGAAAACATTTCATCTAGATGAGAGTATAACTTAATCAAAATATTTCAAACACTGGCTCTGCTCATATAAATACATTTTTAAAAACAGAACAAAAAATTAGCAACAACAACAAAAAAGACCAAACCCAGAAACAGAAAGGAAAAAATGAAATGCTTGGAGTTTTCCCTGAATTAAGATGGAGGCAATCAAATTTTTTTTGTGTAGCCCCGCTTGTGATGCAAAGGATAGCTTAGCTTCTGCAGACGATTGCTACAAGGCACAGGAGGTTACAATAGCTAGGAAGCTAACAACCATTCTCCTGTAAGATTCAGCGATGTTGAATTTGAACAACACCTTGTATAAAAACAAAGTATCAAAAGCAAAAATCAGTATTCAAAGCATAATTTCCAAACTTTTATAAAGCTGTGTAGATGTATCTGAATATGTTCACAGTGTATTCATACATGCACAACCTGTTCAAGCACACTTCTTACTAGCTACTCAGAGTGCAGGCACAGATTCTATTTATCTGCATAAATTATTGTTTTCATAAAGGGATGCATTCCAATGTATACACTATTCTCAAACATCTCATACTTGGTGTGTTAGATCTCAAACCAAAAAAAGAAAGACATATACAGACAAAATGCATGAATTCCAAATATAACATATACTCTAAAATTCAGCTAAGAAGGTGACCTATCACTTCAGCATGACAAATTTAGCTATGCTATAGCTTGATTTTGCCTACTTCTATTCAAGTAACCTTAATTTTTCCTGATTCTTTAAAGGGGCAAGCATACAGGGAAGAGTAGAAAGAGGCTGTTGAAAACTATTATATCATCAACATCACTGACACACTATTTTTAAGTTGTTTTACTTAGAATGCACTATTTTTAAAGCTGCTGCATTTAAAAGCAAATTTATTAACCTCTATGGCAATCATAAACATCTTCTAAATTATCTGAATCAATTAACAAAGACTACAATTAGAAGTCCACTTTTTACAAGACTTTAGAAATATTTGTTTCATCTATTCCAATGTCTGATACTATTAATAAAAAATAATTGTTAGGAATGAAAAACAGCACTGGGACCTTCTGAGTCACCTTCGGATAAATATGCCTATGCATTTCTGTGCACAGGTCAAACACATCATTAGAGCTCAACACTTTTCACTCAAGGAGTCACTACACTTGCAGCTGAACTATCATGCTTGAAATTGCCCACAGGTGATAGAAAATTAAGATACACAACAGCTAAGCAGGTTCAGCCTGACAGATTAGTTGATCTTTAAACTGATCATGTTCTTACACTAAATAAGATTTTTCTCTACACAGACATACAGGCATTGATTTTGAAAAACTTAAATACTTTATGCTAGGACACTCTGCAAATAGCACATATATTAATAAAATACCTGCATATGCAGGCAGCCTAATACATATTAAGTGGTCATATATATAGGAAACTGATTTCACATATAAACACAATAAAAGAAAAGTAGTTGATAAAAGCTGATTGAAGGTGATAGAAGGAAAAAATTAATTTAGCAATCAGTTTTCAGTTGTTTCAATTAAACAATAAATCTCTAAGTTCAAAGTTTTAGGTTTTCAGATTGGGAATTTCTTTGGTTTTAGAATATGAGAAACATTCCTACGAGAATTGTTACCCTTCAAAAGCATGCTACAAAATCCCTATGTAATGTTGTACATGGTGCAAAGAATATGCCCTCTTCACAGCTCAGGTCTGTAAAAGCAATGATTCTTAGAAGTTAATACAATTTTACCTTTTTTAGATCTTCCACAAGTGTTTTTCCCTCCATGAATTCTAGAACCCACTACAGACAATTATCTGACACTTCATACCTGCCTTTCTTCCCCATTCACAGTATACAATTGCACAAGGAGATCTAATATTAAAGATCTCGCATGTAAAGTTCTTTAATAGTTTGACAAATCAGCTCTTCTTTTCCAAGAAATTACTCATCCTGCCATCAAGTGACTGATACAATATCACCTCCTGAGTGGACATCACAAGAGTGCATATCACTGCCATATTAAGGATCTTCTGTGAAAGCAAAGAGAAAAGACACAGCTACCACCCCTGACTGAAAACCCTGTTCATCAGCTGACTAAATGAAGCAAGGGCCTTCAGTCCTAGCAAATAAACAAGAGCCAGCTTTACTGCATCATGCTGGTTTATCTTTGTTGTCAGTTTTCACCAGGACATAGTGAAGACCACTACGCAGGGAAAAAAAATACTGCAGACCCAACCTTTCCGACAAGATATATTTTTTTAGTTTTATTAAAGCAATGAAGAACCAAACAAATAGCATTAGAAAGAGAAAAAAATAGCCCGCATAGCCTGGAAGAAGGTATGCTTGTCAAGGTTGTACTTCCTTTTTCATGGGAACAGGTGTTTCCACTTTGAGAAACTATGTTTTTAAAGAATAATATTTTGAGCATAAATGTAAATCAGTTCACCTTCACAGTAAGTTTCCTGTTTAATTTAAAACTACAAATATTATTAAATACTACAAAAATGCAAACAACGGGAGAACTTACTTATTTTTTTACCCCAGAGGACACAAGTGTCTGCAATTCTCCATATGGGTATAAAAGGTCTGTTTCTGACAGGATCTGAACCTGAGTGCAAGTTTATGCTGCTGTCACAGCTGAGCTTCCTTCCAGGTTTTCAGCATATAACTCAGCAAAGGGTTAATAGCAAAACACAACTACTTTACTCACCAGGACGGCTTAAACCTGATTCAATTTAAGATGATGCAAATCTCTTCACATATGTTAAAGGAAACTAGTCCAGAATTTTAACATAAGGAATCCCATAATAGTGGTATGTAACATCAAGCAAGGCAAAATAAAATTATTCACATCTTTGCTAGACTCAGATTGGGTTAATTCCTCAGTTTTTGCTTACAGTGTCACACAAAATTTGTACAGGCCCCAAGACTCTTCAGTTCCCTCTGACATCAAAAAGGCTGTTTAGCAACAGTGTGACTCCTTGCAGGCTATGCTGGAACACAGATTAATAATGAATTTAAAAGGATGAGCAGCACCTATTTGCTAAGTAAACTCTGCTTCCTGAAGCACGTGGGGATTTTGTTAGCAATGACTCTTTCCAACACAGGCCAGAGCCAATTTACTTAAGAAACCAGCAACGATTCCTTGCACAAATGCAGTCCTCAGTGGCAGAGCTAAAAGCTATTTTAACATCTAATTCTTTGTCTTTGGCATGTAAAGGACTTCAGCTCTTTCGAGACCAGGACAAATAAACAGAAGCAGCATAAATATATAATTGTGAAAAAGACAAACCTTTACATGAATCATCCTCAATCGGCTGCTTGAAAGCCGTTATGTCATTGAAAGTGCAAAGAAATAAAACCACTTTATCCTGCTCATTTCGAATTGGAGCAATTTTCACAAAGAACCAGACAGGTGTTCCTGGAAACAAACATATCAAAAAGTTGGTCAGTGGTAGGCAGAACAGTAAATATGCTAGTTTAGATGTTTACACTTCAAAGTCAGCCATCTGTAAATGTTACTTTAATGTTGGGTTTTTTACAAACACCCATTAGGAAAAATGACAAAGCAACTAACACTCTTGTCAGCTAAGTTCCCTGCTCTGCCTCTGATTAGCTTTTTAATCTTCAGGAATCAGTCACTATTTCTGCATTTCACCTACAAAGTGAATACATGAACTAATGAAGTGCTTTGTGATCTCCTGAAAGAAGAGTCCCATGTAGATGCAAAGGGTGCACACAACAGAGCCTTGCTGGTTCTGTGAAGGACTTGAGAACAGGTCAACTTTGCCTAGACCATGACTGTAATACAGAGTCTCAACTCAACAGCACAACCAGTTCCGTAGAACGTATACCTCCCTGCAAACAGGGAGCAACATCCCCCAACAACTACATCAGGCTATGCACAGCTTCAAGAGCCAGGCTCTGGGAGCTCTGGTCTAGCCTGCAAATCCTCCCATGTAAGCGAAACCCGTTGCAAGCTGCCTGTCAGCTTGTCTTGAACTGAGCCTACTCACAGTGTGAAGCAGGACTCCACTGAACTGCAGAGAGAACAAGCCATCAGGACCAGACCATGGGGTATGGATGGGAGTAGGTTGTACTACATAAAACTGTACTTCTCTAATTACTGCAGTAGATAAACTACTAATGAAAACTACTTGAGAGATTAAAGACTGCACATCACAGAAAAAGATTATCCCAGATAATGATCCTTCATCTATTCACACTGATCACCTTGAGGAGAGAAACTACCAGTCAGCCCAGCCTTTCTGTATTTCTGGCAGTTCTGCTGAGATTGCTGAAAAGACCCTAGTGATAGCAATGAACTTCCATATAACAAGGTGGTGTCTATACTCTCATTTTACAGGATTTACCACACTGATTTTAGCGATATTTAAGTATACGCTGATCGGAGGGCTTAGAACAAAGCAGCTGGCTCCTGTATGTCATAACATGGCCTCCTCTAAGGCACCGTTTTTCAGTCTGCAGTCTTTGGTCATAAAAAGATGACTCCTTCTCCCAACTGAGGTACATGGCAATCAGGAGACTCCAGGGTCACCAGGCCTGGGCCTGCAGGGAGCTTGTACATGAGTTTTCAGACTGTCCCTACACTCTCAATGTTGATGAAAAAAACTCACCATTGCTTTTGTGCGCATAAAGAGTAAGAGCCAAAGACAGGATTCAGGCTTGCTTGCTGTAAGCAACATTTCTCTTGAGTGTCTCTTGTGAGGCTATGTTTGGAGAGAAGGGTCTATATACCAGGGGTCAATATAAACGTGAAAATCAGCAGGATTTTGACCATCTGGGAAAGCCAGTATAAACAACACCACACTTAATTTTTGTCACTCATGCAGGAAAGCCTATTTTCAAAAGGGTGATCTTAGAAGACTATTTCTTCCCTTTCTTGATCACAGGATGCTCCTCTAGACTAAAGATCAGATTCTCTTTCACTTTAATTGCTCAGTAGTTTAACATGAATACTACATGCAATATTTCATGCAATAGTAAGTTGCCACAAGGGTCACTCGTGCTTCCTGACTATCAAAGGGTCACACGAAAACCTCAGGTAGTTCACGAGTTACTGTTCAGCAAAGCAAGCAAAGGCAGCTTTTTTCTCCAACTACGTTAATATAACAGAGGTTGTTGCTACCAGTGCCTCACCCTGGCTGTTTCCCAGTCTCTGCACTTAGCAATCTTTTCTGGCCACAGAAAGCCAGGGCATCTCCAAGACCCATGGACAACTTCCATAAATGAAGTTCAATTTCTAAGGCTCCCACTGTGCCTGCATAGTGCAGGCAGTTTCAAACCCTGGCTGAGATTCCATGCCATATGTACAGCCACCTCTATAAACAGCAGGGTATATGATGCATGGAGGCCTCTGCTCAAAAAGCAGAGAAATTCAGATGAAATCACTGATGGCCATTTCTGGAGCATGCCTGCATGGCAGAAAGTATTCAGGAGTCAATTTTTTTTTTTTTTTTTTTTTTAAAGAGTTAGCAGTCCTGAACAACCCGTTATAAATACGACTATGAGTAAATAAAGTATGAGCAAACAAAAATGCTAAATGCAAGAAAAGATTCAGCAAAGTAACTGTGCCAGTAAAATCATCACTAACTTGCTAATGAGCTTAGAAGACACTGCCACAAAGCAGCCAACAGCAATTTTCGAGACTAACACCCTTTACACTCCTGTGTCAGGAGCTCCTAAAATTGCCTATCTCCATTTCTTCTTGCCTACTTGTTTTTCCCATCTTCACATGTGAACTATTCTGAGGTTGATCAAATCTGTATCTTACTTTGACACAAGCTCCTTGGTGACTAATTGTTTTTTATTTTACCCACTTCAATACCCTTCACTAACACTGCAACTTTTTAATCAGCCCAGATCTCCATTTACAGCCTTGCTTTTTGATCTCTATCTACATGCACTTGTCTTTTTGATTAGGGACTTTCCCCTCCCCAAAACCACTTTGTACTGTTTTGCTGCTTCAAGATACAGCCATTCTGCTATGGGCTGCTCATACTATCGACCTTCATAGCACTGAGGCTGAATTACATAGCTTCATCTCTGCCTCTCACAGCTATAAAAACTCACCACCATGCTTTTGAAGATGCTGTACACATCACAAACAGAAAGGATGCAATTCATCCTCTTATTCTGGCTATTTGTCAGATGTCTGCTGTCATCTTCTCTTTATGATTACGGTTTGATACATTGTTGCAAGATTTTTCTAACATGGTCAATGCAGCAAGAGGAAAGACTTTTCGTGATAACCTGTAGAAGGCTGCTGCAGGGCACAGAGCTTCTATCAGCAGGATTCTTATGCTTTCTAACTCCCTTGACTCCCATTCCTGTGCTGCATTATTTATAGTAAAAAAGGAAAAAAAACACTGTTTCACCTAGAACCAAGTGTAGATCTTAGTGATGTGCCCCACTGGTAATGAGAAAAAGTCAGATACCCTTGATAGCTAAAAGTAGGTGTTCTTGATGACTGTCACAATTTGGGTACCCTTTTTCATTTCCAGAGTGTCAGAGTGCCATGAACAGAGTGTATTCCAGGGGAGAACATAAAATCAAGGTGGCACACATGGTCTGTGTAAATCATCTTCTAGTTTTGGATCTACACAGCAACAGCAGAAATAAGTAGATGGAAAATTCTGCCAGGCCATGTATCTGCCTCCCCAACATTATTCAGCATTTTCCCCTGCAGCATATTCCCCACCATCTTGTCAGTCTCTTTTGTTAGTAGACAACTGGATATAAAAATACAATCCTGAGGTGAGTGCTCACAGGATTGGATTACATGGGCTTCCACAGTGCTCTGCAACCAGGAGCTCGTTCATAGCAGAACTGGGATGTGAACTGTGAGAACACACTGAAAGGCTCAGCCAAGATGTGGCTATGCTCAGCTTTTTTCCTGCATACTCGTTTAATTATAAGAAGAATTTTACTTTTTAAACATTAAACAGTTTATTTAACTATTAAACAGGAAAGCTTAAAGTATAAACCACTTATAAATCAGGTTGGAAACTAGAATTTCAACCTTCTACAGGCAGCCCTCATACTCTTGGTGTCAAAGCGGATGTCCCTGCTCAGCCAGACAATCACTACTGGCAAGAGGCACAAACAAGGCCATTTTAATGAAAAATGTGATTTTTCAGATTCCGCCTATGGGTTATTCAGGCAGTGAAACTGTAGTACGCTTCAGAGCTCTCACAGCAAAACAAGAGTAACTTCCTCATATGCCCCCAGTCTGCACTGATGTACAGCCACGCAGATACCGTTTACCAGTGTTTCCAACAATACATCTACTTCCATTTACATTTTGTGTTCAGGCCTGGCAAGCTCTCTCACTGGTGAAGTTCAATCATAATGCCAATGCACAACAAAGAAGTAAACACTCATGAGCCATGTTGGCTTCTGTTAGATTTGGAATCAACAGTGAAAGAATCCAGAGTTTGTCTAATGGCATAGGACCAATCCTTCCAGAAAAGGAAATGTCACTTCAGTGTTGGTGGAGAAGCAGTGTGAACAAGTGGGAAGAAATTAAAATCTACAATGAACTTCTCAGAGTAGCATTAGGACCAGTGTGCCTTGTGGTACCAAAGTTATGTAGCTAATTCCAGAATTAAAGATGAGCTTTTAATAGTCTTCACTGGCCTGAGCATAGTACTTGGGTGTTGCCTTAAAGGCAAGACAATTTTAAGAGCTGTGATTCAAGTCTCAAGTCTTCTCCAGACTAACACACAGTAAATGTCTCCACACCTTAGAATTTCCCAAGCACAAATACTACTGTCTCTTCCCTCTCCTTTTTTTCCAGTCCTGTGTATTTCAACAGTTCAGCCCCTTGCTGAGCAGGAACACCAGCATTTAACATACTATTTAACTTCTGTTGAGGTCCTTCAGAAACTCTCATAGTGTCAAAGTGAATGAGATGTTAAAGGTCTATTCCAGTTTCTCCCCCTGACCATACTGATGACCTCCCCTTCAGTCTTCCTTCCTGTCAAACAAAAACAGGCTATAATGAAAATCAAAACCACTAAGTATGCTCTCTCTCCATACTTTGAACTGTTTAACCAAAAAGGTCAGCTGTTTTTCAAAACTACAGAAAGTTCACTGTTTAAATAAAACTGCAATATGCAATTTTTCTTTCCACAAAGTAAAACAAAATTCATTTATAAATACAATGAAAAAAACATGTTTTGACAATTCAGCTATCTTCACTGCCCTTACTGAACCAGGCAAGTTTCTTCAAAGCAGCACAACTTCTGTGTTACTTGATAAAGTTTCAATCAAATGATCAGCAGACAGGTATTGCCCTAAAGGTAAACGCTCAGGCAGTATGGAAATGAAAAGGATAGAAGCATGTGCTGCGTCTCCACAAATTCCTGCATGCAGTGATGCAGACAGCAGGACTTCAGT